TGAAGGCTTTTATAAGCGCTGAATGCCAAGCTGATTATGGAGAGACTAGATGGTATGATCATCGACAGGGACATGGTTTTCTCTCGACGTTGTTTTGTAGAGCACGTTGACTGTGGTCAGTACATCAATTGACAACATACTTTCACGTAAGAGTCTACCCAGCTCAGAACCCAAAGGTACGTGTATTACAACGAAGTAACACAGCGCAATCTATTAAATAGGTATGGTCTAATGTCTAATTGTATGTCTGCTCGAGCAGCAACTCCGAGGGAACAGTCCGTGGGAACAAAACGACGATGGTCTTTCACGTCGAGCGACGAAATTAACCGCACTGAGATCATTAGCACACCATTACTCTCAATCGTCACTTCATCACTTACGCAGCTGATAGTCTACACATATCCACGTTAGCCCTATTCTCCCCACAACGTCCAAGATCAGGGTACTTACACCACCAGCACCACACCCATTCAAACTCGGCCTCCCCCCACTGCCAGGGTAAACGCAATTCCTAAACGTGGGAAAGTTCCTGCTCGGCGCTCCAGGGCTCTGGCACTGCACACATGTCATGTTAGAAGCCGAAACTTGTTTCGTTTGCGTTGTTGTTGTTGTTGTTGGTGTTCGGGACTTACGCAGAAGGAGTTTGGCTGGGAGATGTATTAGTAATTGTTTTCGAAGGATATGTCTTCTATTAGGGAAGAGAGAAGAGGAGAGGTTAGGACGTGGACTGGATTGGACTAGACTTACGTAGGCACCAGGACATGTAGAACCACCCGGTAATCCCCATCCGCCGTTACAAAACGCGGCTTCGGACGCGGCGGCAAGAGCGAGAATGATGGGGGCGAAGAGTTTCATGATGGTTGTTTTAACAAACGTGTAGTTGGTAATCCGAAGATAGCCAGCCTTGCGCAACGGGACGCAAGCATGTATATATATCAACCGCAAACCGCAGCCAAGACGATCCGTACTCAGGGCCACAGGCAGTGCACGCACTTATCGCATGAGTAATAACCCGAGGTCTAGTGCGCGTCGTTTGGTATTAACAGTGGTTCCTCCCTCATTCCCTCAGTTGTAAAGCCGCAGTTAATCCGCATGCTAGCTTCACACAGCTAGCTGGTTCCGTATTCCTGCTCTCATAAAGTAGACCGCAGTACAGATTGCGCGGCTGGCTGGAGACGTTTGACAGGAGAAACATGAGTACATACGTCCATGGAAGGTTCGAGCTGAGCTGTCCATGTTTCAAGCTGACAGTCCGTCCGCTGATCTCGCGGTAGTCAAGGTAACTGCCGGTCATCGTGATGATGGTGATGGGGGAATGTCAAATTGCGATGTGAATCAAAGTTCCGAACCAAACCGCCGGTGTAATTGAGGCTGGTATATCGAGATCGACGACGCGATAGCAGTAGGTACAGGGCTGGGAGACAAGATGGACAGTGCAGCTTACGCTAGCACTAGGTTCAAACGTGGTTAGAGCCGGTACTAATATGTAGACGTTTGTGGTAAATTCCCAGTGGCTAAGGTGAAGGACCGAAGACGAGGCTGAAGTGGTGCGTTGCTTTCATGAATACCCAGGTATTCAGATGCTGAAGTAAAAGCATAAAGCGCAATGCAGATGTCTTCTGAACTACGGTCTTTATCTCCAAAACTCGGCCATCTCGAATATCACGATTCTACCCAGGAATATAGCCAAGTAGTCGCCCCCTGAAAAACCCTCCTCATGCCATGCGCTTGGCGCCTGCGGTGGCGATAGATAGAGCGGAAGCGTGACCCTCCGGCGAGCCGGGCAGTGATGTGAACACCTGCGCGAGCGCGGCCAAGATCGCGAAGACAGATGTAGACTCAGGAGATCCGGTGACACGGCGTTCGAGAGGAAGGTAAGCAATGTAGTTATGGGAGTGAACGTGAACAAGAACACACAGAGGAGAATATGATGAAAGAAGGGAGGACTGAAAGTCAGGCATGCTGAACACGTAAGAGTGACCTCGAGACAGATACGTAACATGACGAAGTAGCAAGACGAGTTGTGGCAGTGACGTACAGTACATAACACAGACATCCGCGTGACAGACGTCCAGCGCCCTCTCAATCCATGGTCAGAAGGACAAGCAAGATCCATACTATACAATCATCAACAGCAGAGACACACGCAACGGGTATCAACTGTGCTGATTCCTCGCTTCTGGTACGATTTCTTCGGTACCTTCTCAACCACACTTGAACAATGAATAATAAACCCAACTCTACCCTCAGCAAGTCCATTCTCACGACTTATCCTTATCCAAAGCCCCAGCAGACGTTTTCGTCCCTTGTACACCATGCACGCACGACTTCTCAACCTGGTTTCTAGTAAGCAAGGGACCTTCTTGTAACTTCGCGACTTCAGCCGTTGTTGCCGGAACAGTACCATCTCTCGCCCCGCTTCCACGTTCGTCCTCTGCCTCTTTCTCTTTCATCGCCATTCCGCTATCCATCCCCGCTTCCACGACCACACCACTGTCGTCAGCCCTTTCTCTCGCCTTCTGCAACTTTGACAATACAACATCCGCCGCCCTCAAAAACTTCCTCCCATCCTCAGCATCCTTCTTCCACCTCTCCCTCTTATCCCTCGGTTGTCTATCATCTTGCCAACCATCCTCAAATGTCTTGACCTCTGCAGAAATCTGCCCATGTATTCTTTCTAACTCGCCCATTGAGTATGTCGGTTTGTGCGTGGCGGGGACTATTGCTCCGGTCGTGGGTGGTATGCGTGGCGGCTCGGGTACCCAGTCGGCAGGCCTATCCGTCCCTGTCGCGGTGGTTTGGCCTGCTTCCCAGATGGTTTTGTGTCGGAGGCACATGCGCCATTGTGTGAGCTTGACATCGATGTCGTGGGCTGCGTTGCGAAGACTGACGTATGCTATGTCGACGAGTTGGATTTGTCGGAGGAGGTTTTGACGTTCGTCCTCGTCTGTAGACTCCATGTGGCAGTGGTCGTATTTTTGCTGTGCGTTGATGTAAAGCAGGTAGTCAGCCTCCTGTAGTAGTTCCATCTTATCCGCTTCCAAGGTTTCCATAGTAGCCAGCGTGCTTTCAATGTCGATGCGTCGCAGGTCTTCGGCATAGTCGACGGGTGTAGCGTAGAATGGTGGCTGTTGTTCGACAGGTGTCGCAGCAACTGCCATAGGCTCACTGCTGCTGTTTTCGAGTTGCACGTCCTGTTCTGCTCGCTCAAAGGCCTCCTCTGACAGCCACCGTGTGTACCAGAGGCTGTTGTGTGAGACGTATTGCTGCATGATGGGGTCGAGGCTCGCCATGAGCTCCGGATCCCAGAAGATGTTCCAGAACTCGAATGATCGTCGCTTGACATGTCGGCCAAAGTGTTTGTATGCCTCCTGCCTCTCTCCGCTGTACTGAAAGTACGCATGCGCTCCCAGGACACCGGCACAAGCGCCGATATTTGCCATGCCCAAGCATCGCGTCCACCTCGGTATAGCAGGCCGGCGCATAAACAGCGAAGGCACCGAGACAGCCAGACCCAATGCCGCGCCTGCCAAAGCACCATCGTCAACGGTATACTTCTTCGTCCTCTCATACAGCTTCCAGGGCTTGATTTTCGGTATATTCGTCGACACCAACACATCCGCAAAAGCGGAGTAGTAATACCAGTTCAGCGCCGCACCTGCCAGGCCCGCCCAAACCCCCAGCCTCGCCGAAGCCCGTATAAACACCGCTGGCCGCGATATTGGCCTCGTAGGAGTGACACTCTGTGCATATCTCGAGGCGAAGGACGTATATGCGGCGGCAAAGACGGTCGAGGAGATGATGGCGTACTGAGGTGTCGCGTTCGCACCGATGGGATCAGGCCGTTTGGGAGTAAGGCGATGTTGCCCTTCGCCTACACCATCTCGTTAGCAACTGCTTCTCCACATCGTCTTCGGCGAAACCTACCAGGCGGCACAAAGAGTCTCAGCACCATGGCGCCAAAACTACGCGCGTAGTACAAGATAAGCGATAGAGTGTGGTATCATATGCTGTCCACGGTCCACGGCTATAAAATAGTGTGCGGCTGCAGCGAGCGCGTGGGGCATTCACGAGGCCGCTCATGGCAGTGAAGGTGCGTGGGCACTACCGGTGAGTGCCCGGATTGGCGCGCCTGGAGGGTGTCATGAGGCAGATGTGAAGGAACAAGGTTCCGGAAGCAGCTACGGCGGGCGGCCGCCGGGAAGGCGCATCGCAGCGGGACAGGTTTAATCCCTGTCATGTTCGCATGGGAAGGCTGAAGGGGGGCGCAAGGGGCGAGGCCGCGTGAAGAGGGTGTCGTTGTGTCTTAGGCGGGATGGGTGGGTGGGCGACACTGGCGATGATGCGTGAGGCCGGGGTCGGAGGGTGCACGTGAGGACGTGTGGTCAAGCGACTTCATGGGTCCAGACCGCCAATGGATGATCGCATCTGGCCATTGCGCGAGTGGAAGATGCGGTCTCGTCGGGTACAGCATCACACAAAACGTTTTCACAACTTGGGTATATTCATTTTGTGATTGATTAATACAAGCTTCATTCCCCGATCGCAGTCAATTATTCTACTCCGCATCGCACAATCATTACCACATACCCCAATCTCGATCCCACCACCCGATTACAACGACTACTCATACCAATTTAGTAACACAAGCTAATATCGAACTCCATACCCGCTTTTCGCATTGAATACAGAAAAAGAAATAGTCGAACGAAAGAGGTAATCCCAAACGCCATCGCTAATACGGTTTAAAAGCAAGTTCAGCGCCAGAAAACGAGAGAACATGCGCAAGGACCCCATCCACCCACGCTAAGTAACATTAGTACAAAGGTAAGCGAAAGATCGGAATCGAGAATCGAGAAAGAGAAATGGCATGCGAGCGGGTACGGGAACCGAAGCAGATCGCAGAAGCAAAGAAGAGACGATGCGGAAACATGGAAGGAGGAGCAGAAGGAGAGAGCCGTCAGAGAACCACCTCAAACCCCTACTGAACCGACTTGACATCACCCCGCCCTCGTATCCCTCCGCTGCATGACAATCTTCGCATCCTCGCTCCTCAAAAACTCAAACACACCCAGCTCCAGCCTCGCCAACCCATCTTTAAACATATACTCGCTCCCCTCCGTATTCGTCATAACCCTAAAAGCCATACAGAGTAGATCCTCAGGACTCAATCCATCAATACTACTCATGTTCTTCCATTTCAACCGCATGGCCCTGAGATCGTTCATAGCAAGCAACCGATCCACAAGGCCAATGTGAGATACGCCGGGGTTGGCAGCCATGCTGTGCCGTAGTGAAGCGATAGCTTGACGCTCGTGCAGCCATGCAGTGAGGATCTTGGAGACGAGATCGTAGTGTGTGGATAGTTCTGTGCGGAAGAGCGGTTCGCCGTGGTACCAGAGTGTGTGCATGCGGACGAGGAGGCTGGCTTCGTCGGGCGGCATTGTGGAGCGAGGGTAGAAGAAGGTGAAGAGACCGGCGGTGACTTCGCATTGGAGGAGGCGGAGGTCGGCCGTCGAGACGGAGCCGCGGGGGAAGGTTTGTGGTTGTGGGGGCTGGACGACGTGTGCGGTTTCGGGGGGTTGGGGCGGTTGTTGGTGGCTTTTCAGCACGGGTTGGTGCGGTGAGGTGTGTTGGGGGGCGGCGGCGGGTTGGCTGTGGTTTGAGGGGGCTCGGGGTTTGCTCGAGGGCGCGGGCGGTGCGTCTTGTGTAGTAGGAACGAGTTGTATGCCGTATGCGGGGGCGCTTTGTATCGCGGGTGCAGAGGTAACCTGCTTATTAGGTGCCATGATAGGCTGATTAGGTGCGGCCTGCGCATGTGGTGTACTAGATCTACTGCGAGGGTGTGGTGCGAGAGAACGGCCGAAGGGGTGGCTCGGGGTATTAGATCGACTTGGTGGTTGGGGTGGAGGCTGTTGCTGAGCCTGGATATGCGGATGTGATGGTAGCTGTGTATGCTGAGGATGATGTGTATGCGGTGATGCCTGGTGTGGGTGTGAAGGGTGGGACGGTGTCTGTTGCTGCTGTGGTGGTGCCTGAGGTTGCGGTTGCGACTGCTGTGGCTGCGGAGCGATATGTGTGGGCTGCGGAGGTTGAACGGCAGGCGACTCCCTCTTCATATATCCACCTGCCCCATTAGCTGCTGAAGATGCGTTCACGGCTTGAAACCCTTGATTCGAAGCTGGTGTAGGAGTGGCTGGCGGTGCAGAACGAGGAGTTTCCGTAGCAGATCGAGCCATGGCAGCACTGCGTGAAGACGGCTCATATGGGCTCGTGTAACTGTTGCTGTGACGATGTCCAATACCAGGAGGAGGTCGATGCACTTCTCTCGACGGTTCTCGGGATGCTTCCCGTGTTGGCTCTCGAGGTGGCTCGCTAGGTGGAGGCGTGTTGTTAACAGCAGTAAAGCCCCCATTGTTGACAGCCGTGAATCCTGCGGGTGCGGAGCTTTGGGTGATAGCCGGAGGCCTTGACACGCCGTTCAAGTCGTTGTTTGATAGAGGACTGAGCTGTATCCGCGAGGGTTCAGATGCAGTTCCTGGTGCTGGCGAGAAACGATGCATGTGCGTCGGCATAGGAGGTATATTCTCCATGCTGCCCGGGCCGGCAGGATACAGTGACTTGAGTGACTTCCTTGGGCTGCCCTTTCGGCTCACAGGCATAGTGCTGTACGGCCTTTTGATAGGCGAAGCCTCAGGATCTTCATCGTCAGACATGGTGAGGTGAGCATTGCTCTTGCGCTTCTTCAGATTAATAGGCTTAACGTCGAGGTCAGCGCCTGCAACAGTATCCGGATCTGGTGGGGTGAGTGACTGTGGCGTCCCATGTGGTGACTACCGTTTATTAGCCATGACAACACCAACCATCTCGTCAAAACTTACAAGGCCTTCGGCATCAATGTCTGCAAGCTGATCATACTCATTCGCACCCGACGGTCTCTTCAACTTCATGTTGCGAATGTAGTAGCAAGCTTTGATGATGATCCACCGATGCAGATGAATCTTGAGACTAAAATAGGTTTAGCGCGCGTTCTGACACCTGACACCTGACCATCCCAACTTACATATCCTTATGCTCCGGCTCCTCGTAAAACAGATCTTTGTTATACGTCTTCTTGGTCGCATCCGGCGTGAGTAAACAGCTGCGATCCGCATCCCTGCCCCAAATAGCGGGTCCGTAACTCGCTAGCAGGTCCTCGAGCTCCTGGTTCAGGGAACTCGGATCCGCCGCGAAGTCCAGCAACAAATCTCTTTCTTTTGGCAATTCCTTGGACAGCTTCGTCACCTCACTCGAGAGCTTGCGGTAGTCTGGGTTGTCGAATTTCGGAATGCCGCGGTTGGTCGTGGACGAAGACGCCGATAAGCCCAGGCCCAAGCATTCCGTCACCTCGCGTATAGTCGGGTTATGCGAGCTGAAGACGGATATCCAGCGAGCGCGATCCCAGCGTCGCACGCCGTGCTCCAGATCCAGGGCCAAGTTATCCTTTGAGCTCATGGCGCCACATGGGTGACGACGGGCACGTCAACAGTTGAAATGGGAAGTAGGAAAATGACGATGGAAAAGTAAGCGGATGGGATGGGGAATGACAATCAATGGCGCGTGCGCCAAAGTGTGATGGATCCGCTCTCGACGTTCCAAGGTTGGGGTGATTGATGGTAGCTCGCTCGGCAAAGGTAAAAGGAGTACGTTCCACTAGGCCGTCTTGGAACAAAGTTTTCTTATTGCCAGCTGCTGCTACCCCGAGAAAAACTTTGTCCAGTCTCAGATGCCGATCGTGCTACCAAACTAGACAAAGAATTGAAAGCCCCTGTACACACAAGAAGAACAAACTGCGCAGCAATTGTACTCTGGAGTAGGAACCGACAGGCGCTGATGAGGGGGGCGTTGGGCGGCGAAAGAAGGATTGGTGATGATGATTGATGCCGGTGACGTGTAGAAGGCGAACGACGGTACGCTGCGTCGAAAAGATACCCAGAAAAGAGGTGTGTCCAGTAGCGAGACAATGATCCGGCAGGGGCCGCAACAAAACATGTGCAGAGGTAATACGCGTCCGCACTCCGAAGTTAATGACTCGCACGCCAATAAATCCCCATCAGGTGTAATCATAGTACCGCCCCATCCTCATTCGTTCACACCCAGCGGGTCTCCTTTGCCCTTGCCTGTTCATTGTACGACACTTGCACTATGAGCGTGGTGCTCATTTGCTGCATTATGCTAATCATATCTATCGCAGGGGTCTTCATCATACACGAGGTACAAATGAATATGTCGCTAGCAGCACAACTCTTACTCGCATAGGCCAAAACATCCGATCCTCTTACTCAAAGCCTCCATTAGCCGCCACATGCAATCAGCGAATAAGCGGCACTATCACGGTTTCGTATAGCCGGGGATAGATGTCGTTGGTATCATGGTCAGGAGTTACAACTACACATGCATCTATGACGCGCTCGTCCCTCACCCATAGATTTGTACTACCGAGCTGCGATTACTCAACTGTGCGACCGGTTCCTGTCCAGACCGCGCGCCGCATAATATTGATGGGAGGTACAGCGAGATCTGATAAACGCCACAGCTCGAAAGAAAAAAATGTGAGGCAATGTGACGAATGTGCGGCGCGGTCACTGCCTGCACTCTAAAATAGGAACGTGGCATTAGGGAGATTTACGGCGCAGTGCGGAGCCTGAAGACAACGCCCCTTGGCTGCAGGGAATACACTAAGCGAAAAGGTATACTGCGAAGTGCTGCCGAGCCGTGTATTCATTCGGATACTAGCTGCCGAACTATCGAAGTTGCGTACAGTCGCGCCCTCACTATGCGCTCGCGCGTTCCAGGCGATCGCAAACTAAAGCAAATCACGCGTCGCAGAGTCCCGTACTGCATGGTGATGAGGTGTGGCACAGCTGAGCTAGTGTAATCCTACACGGTCCTGTAACATGATCAAGTAGCTGAAACCACCACTCTACGGCTGACCTACCCGAATAGCTTATTTTCCCGAATTGGACACCTACTAGTGGGGGCCTCGACCCTGGCGATCGATCGTCGCCCTGAAAACCTGAACGCCTGTATGATCCTCGTACACAGTTTTTGCGACTACAGCTGCCCGCGCGCACGATACGTGCGTGTCTCCATCGTGGTAGTTGCGACTAGCGTCGTGACTCGCCAATATACCAGAGCATACCCTTTCCATCTTCCTCTTCTTCCTTGCGGAAGCTCTCCAGGTGGTCGTGCAGCCAGCCCATTACTTGCGTAAAGTCTACTGGCTTCCACTGCATCTCTACTGCGTACTTTTCTCCGGCCAACACCACAATGGCCTGTCGCAGGAGCTCATCGCGGTCGACAGCAACGTTGGGGCCAAGACCAAATCCTCGGCCCACATCTTCAAAATTGGCGATGATGGTTTGCGTGCAGCCCATGAGCGTGCGGTGCTGTTGGATGCGCCTCTCGATCTCGGCAGCTGTGTGGCCTTCGGCTGACCAACCTGCAGTAGGGTAAGTAAAGATAGAATGGATGCAGATGCAGTTGGTAAAACGTACGTTCGTTTGCTCGTAATAGAGCTGCCAGGTGGCGCTTAAGTTCCACCCAAGTCAGAAATGCTCGTTCCCTCGCAATGAAAACGGGTATGTTTTCGATCATCTTATTGTAGTCGGCTCGAACGCCTTCTCGCCATGTTCTTTCGAGTTGGTTGAGGAGCGCTTCCTCGTCCATTGAAACACCTCGCTCCTCTCCATATATGTACTGCCGCAGCGCCCGTAAGCCGTCGTAGTCTAAACCACGGTAGGGTATGCTGTTGTTTGGTTGCGGGAGCTCTTCTGGCACACCGTTATCTGACCGAAAGCTTGCTACCAGCGCGGCCATTTGGACGCTGACTTGTCGATCAGCAGCCGCTTGGGTCGCGTCGGTGATTTGCTGTTGTGCCGCTGCTTTGGTCTCGGTAGGATGTGCAGCGTGGGTAGCAGCAGGGCCTGACATCGTACTGAGATATCGAGACTTGTTCGCTTCAGCAGTAAGTTTGTTCCAGACACCCTCGGCGATGTTGGATTGTTGTGTAGCCTGTTGTTCGTGGGCTTTCGCCGATGTAAAGGCGGCATTGCCATTCGTTGCATGTCCACCGCCATTGACAGCTGTGAACCCGCCTCCTTCCCGCGGTCCCATAGTGGGACTTTCCCCAGATTCCGGAGGTGTGAGCATTGCACTTGACGACATCGGGCTTCCACGTGACGCTGTATCGCCGTCGTGCAACACCGAGTTTGGTGCAAGCGCAACAAATGATGCTGGCGTGCCGCCCTCTTGCTGGCCAGAAAACTCTGCATCAGCTCGCGCCTGGCGGTTTTCTGCCTTCTTTCGTCTCTCGCGATCCAGGCGTTCGCGCGCAAGAATGACGTTGCATGCCTTCAGCCCGATCCACCAATGGAGAAGTTTGTGAATTCTGCGTAGTGGGTCAGTAGCTATTCGGCTCTATTGCGAGGGCCCAAACCCCAGACAGATGTGCTCTCGAGTTTATGTACTTACAACGCTCTGTCTTCCTCGTTCTCCAAATAAAGATCCCGCGGGTAAAGTCCCTCTTCGACTCCGGGTTCATTCGCAGTGATTAGGTGCTCGCGATCGCCCACTCTTCCCCAGACCTTGGCGCCATGTTTCTCAAGTAAGCCATCGACTTGCTCTTTCAAACTTCCCTCGTCGCTCAGAAACTTCATCAGCTCATCCGGCTCTTTCGGTAACGTGGAGACAACATCGCCCATGTCTGCAACAAGCTCGCGTACGAGGGCGGATTCAAAGTTTGTTTTACCGCGTTTGTTCGATGACCACTTTGCGCGCAACCCAAGACGCTCGATCAGCTCGTGCATACGCACTTTTGACCGATTCTTCATAATGTCCAACCAGTCCTTGGACGTTGCGTATGTGATAGCTGAGCCGTCCATGGTGTCTGGGCTAGATGCATGGATCGCAAAATCTCGCCAGGTGAATTAAATGTAGGCTAGCGATGCAGCCGTACACAGTCGTATGAGTTCCGAGCGTTGTGGTGTCGCGACTATGCAAGGGAGGTGTGATGTGTAGTGCTGATTTTCTCGGGTATGATTACATGCAGATGCTCTCAGGACTGGGGCAGCCAGATCGTGCAATTTCGCCAAAGGGCCGTCTAGAGCATGTACGAGTCAGTGATGGGGCGCGCAAGGGAAACGAACGACATTCTCAAAGATGAATCGAGAACACGATAGATGATAAGAAAAGTACAGATGAAGAAACCATAGCGGCGTATGAAAGCTTCGTCTACAGGTTAGCGGCACCCGCCTGGGAATGGCAGGCGGAACCAGAGGGCAGTTGCTGCCGATTGGCTGGAACATCGCGTTAGCCGACGATCCCCCCAAATCACTTACACAAGGCATTGTGCACATTGTTCTTCGTCTACGAGGTGGCGAAATGCAGCTCACCGCTGCTGACAGTAATGTCTTGTGGCCCAGGTCTATGCATACGACTGCATTTCCTTTTCCACTTATTGGCGCGACTGACATCAGATGCGCAGTGGCGGGCAGATTTCGCTGGTGTACAGGCGATGGGGAATTACTACATCATCGCATGTGCTGTAGCATATGCAAACACCCAAACAGAGGCTCTGTAAGTTTTGCGAGAAAAGGCCACATAGAGATCGTCATTAGTAATCGTATGTATATACATTTTATGAGTTGCCTGGATCCTGCCCAGCCTCATGGAGCACCAGTGCTATACAACCGCCAGCCTGGTATCGATGCTTTCGACCAACTCGCACGCGAAAGATCAAAAGTGATCGGGGTATATGTAGGACAACGCAAAAAAGCCATCGATGTACTCAATGGTATATAGATGCTAGAGAAAGTGAGAAAGAGCACACCTTCGAAGAACGCCGAGGGTGGAATTCTAGGAAGAGAATTATCGATGACCGTTGTTCATGCCGCTCAAGCAGGGTTTGGCCGGCTCAAAGACTTGAGTACGATATCGACTTTTGCTTGAGGATTGTCTGCCCAGATAGACGCTTGAGCAAGTGTAGTCTGTAGACGATCGAATGCGGTCTCCGTGCCTTTGCGGGCTACGATCGCTTTGCTGATACCGTCACCAAGATCGTATGTCAGTTTCCAGGTTTTTGTTTTCTCCAATATGCTCGCAGCAGACGGTAGGTCCTCAGATTCCTCCTCCAACAGGCTGAGCAGGCCTCCAAAAGACTTGCATTCGCGCAGCGTATGAATAAAATCCATTTCCATGCCTTCATCATCGACCGACCAGATAAAGTACACGCGCTCGGCTTGTTCGTCGGTCAAATCAAGAGAGATGATGCTAGTCGAGTTTGTGCGCTTGATGGCTTGAGGCGGAGGTTTGAATGTATCCGCGGGCGTTGGAGCATGCTGTTTGACATCGTCGACAGGTGTTTCTGACGTTCGTTGAGTCTGTGTATGTATCTGTGGCTGCGGTTGGGGTTGGGGTTGGGTTCGGGGTTCCGGCTCTGGCTGTGGCTCCGCCAC